AAATGATACAGAGTAAGACGAAAATTCTGAAATAACGCACGACTCTAAATGAAAGTAGTTATTTAGAATATTTTACGACTGTAACTTTCTTATCGTAATCCGGCAATCTATCTATTTCCATGCTGAAATAATCAAGGAAATGATTAATAATGGCCACATCGCTATCGCGCCCCTCGCGAAGCAGTCGATCTCTTTTTTTTCTGCATAAGAGCAGGTTTACAGCTTGCTGCACTTTGCATGTGCAGAGTCGTCCTCGCATCGCCCCTGCGGATCTCCGGAAGATCGCTTGATAATGCGAGAGGCACGACGACGGGGCCGCTTCGATTTGGAGTGATCTTATCGAAACTGTTCTCCCGTAGACACCGGAAATTATTAGGCGCGGCCAATAAACGATTTGACACTTATAATTGCACTAAACGTTTGCACTCGTAGGGATGCACACGTTGCGCATTGCGAAGAAAAATATCGCGTTCACGATTGATGCAACTGCAATTTCCCTCTCGATGTCGATCTCTTTCCGAGATTTGAGACTCTTCATCATTCGATAATTGATTTTCATAGTTTATTGCGTTTCAATAAGATTTTCTTTTTATATTTTTTAGGACTGAGAAAGCTACGTAATTGAATACATAATTTCTCTCTGGAAAAAATGCATGTCTATGTGAATTCCTTATCATCGACATCTGCGATGTTGATAGTTCCTCAGTTCTAAGCGATAAATGAAATTAAACAATTGTGATGAATTGAGCTTCAGAAATTCAATCAGATAAAATTTATTAATTTTTTATTAACTGCTTCGACTTTAATTTGGCTTAACAAAATAAGATGTATTTACAACAAGTGTTATTTAATATAATTCAAATTTAAAAGAAACAAAAAAGAAATAGTAATATCAAATTCAATTCTTAAAGCAAAATTGACTTTAAATTGATAGGAATCATTGGCGAATATTACTAAAACAGTCATAGTTATAAGTTAAATTATTTTCTATTTGCGTATATTTTTACGCGGGCTAGGCTAAAGTTCTGACAATTATAATATAGAACATAAATGTGTATTGTCACGTGACGGAAACTAGCTGCTGGAGATGCTCCGCGCGAACAAGCAGATACATATATCGAAGACAGCTCGCCAGTAATAAGCATATCTCGTATATAAGAATTATGAAATGCTACTAAGACGAGATATCCGCTAGTTATTATTGACTGTTACTCTCGCGATGATTGTAGAGCTCGTGGACTTTTCAGAATGCGATGTACGGAAATGCACGACTGCCGGCCCATTACTCGCACGAATGAAATGCGTAATGGGTATAATAGCATTCAAGATTCACTTAAACCAGTTTTCGCGAATAGCATAAACCAACTGTGATTGCTAAGACCAAATAGATATTCGTCGCGAATTTGTCGGCCAAATCGGCACGTATACGCATACATATCCATTGTATGTGCAAAATTAGCATTCGTTTTAGCCATATAATTGTATAAATTTATTTCCCTTATTGCTAAGTGAATCTAAAATAAATTTCTAGAAAAATAATTGAAGACCCCACAATGTAAGAATAGAAGAGATAAATCGATGATTTATAAGCTCATTTAAAAATTTTATTTATTTTTCGTATTTAAGATTTATTCCGATTTATTTTTCGTATTTAAGATAAAATGTGAATTTATTTCATTTTTGCTTTCTATACAATCTGTGTATAATTACTTGAAATAATAAACGCGCATTATGTTTCTCCGATTACCGATTATCAGATTCAGTAGTCTCGAACAGCGAAAAAGCGTCGAAGGAAAAATTGAGAAACGTGCAGAAGTAATTGTATTTTTCGAAGCTCTGAGATGTTTTGTAAAATGGCTAGTACTTAAACGATTTTACAGTAATACAGTAAAGATAGTGACTATCCGATACCCGCCACTTTGAATGCTTGCTTTTTCTTTTTAAATTCTTCCGTGGAAAATGGTTATGGCAAATAGGCGGGCAAGTACGAGTCAATGCGACGTATCATTAGGGGAAAAAGGACGTACTCCCTTCTCGTGATTTTCCGAGAATAGAGAACGTTTGCGAGCTTGCATTTGTGTTGCCGAGAAATTGGTCCATAATTATCAAAAAAGTAGTGAGTTCATAGATTGTCATTGCAATATGCAGGTATCAGGATGTTTGATATGCCCTCATTGGAATTAATTTCAGACGAAGAAAAGATACTTAAAAAATACCTTCGGGTTTATTATCTAATTATTATCTATTATCTAATTTATATTTATTCACGATTTTTGTTGTGCTTATAATTATTATTTAGAAAAATTTCTTAAATCTTTTTTCTTCATATTTGCGTTATAATTACTTAAATTTTCTTTTTGTTTGTAAAAAAAAAAACAAGGAAGGTAAATTACGTACACGGAAGGAACGATTTTGTTGAAAGGTCTAAAAATTTTACTAAATACAGATCTGAAAATAATTCTTGTTTAATTATCAAAATAATTGATTGGAAAATTAAAAATTATAAGCATAATTGCTATAAAACGTTTTGATATTTTAACAATTATTGTGACTTTTCAATAAAATTATTTTGATTAATAAACAAAAATTATTTTCAAATCTGGATCCAACAAAATTGTTCTTTCCGTGTAAGTATTTAAACTAATTATCAGAAAAATTAATGCATACATAATAGGAAAGATAAACGAGTTTCATGCCAATGTAAAACTAAAAAGATATCAAATTCATTATGTTAACGATCTAACCATCAATTACAACGTCTCAATAAACTCGTCGTTACATAGTGAAGGAAAGAAGAAGTGCGGTGCCGAGCAAATAAATCCGCGGTGCGCTTTACATGTCGCGTGAAGAATTGCAATGTCTCAGCTTCTTGCTAATAAACAGGATGAAATTTTTGCGTTAAGTACCTCGCGACGTAAAGTTATCTCGCGCATTTCATCGTACACAACATGCGCGCGGGAAGAAATAAATTCGTCTCGCAACGAGGTGCAATGAGAAAAACACTAAAATGAAAGTGATAAAAAACGCATAATTAAGTCAACATTAGCAGCAGTATTCGCGCTGTTACTTCTGTCCATTTGCAAAATTATGATAAAGGATAAAGAAATGAAACAAGAAATTAGCTTCCGAATGAAGATTGCCGCGTCTCGTTAAATGTCTCAAGTTCTTTTTCGACGAGTTCAAAGTAATGCATTCACATGATTGATCACGATAAATCTTCGCGTAATCACGACAAAGCACTTTCCTCTTTCTTTCTTCGTTTTTGTGTTTATAAATTAAAAAATGGTCGATGAAAAACCGATTGATTTTTAGACATTTTCACAAAAAAGTGAAACAGATTTTCGTTCAAATAATAATGCACGTATTAATTTGTTAAACTATTAACTATATATCTTGTATATATAGATTTTTTTGGAACATTCAATATATTTACTCCATAAATAAAAGTAGTAAGTATGAATTAATGTTTTTCCTAAAAATGAATGACAAAAATTTCTTGTTTATTCAGTTTTATAAAAGAATTCCTAAAAGGAAAATTGTGACCCGATTACCTCAATTGAGTTATGATTGATTTTCATATCCGCAGAGGGAATTGCGTTACGCTAAATTATACCGTACGAAAATTGACGCGGTAAATTGGCCCGCTGATTATCTCGCATTCCTGTTGATAAGATCTTTCCGAATTTATGCATAATCGTTGCATAAAGCTTAGCAACTTACGGTGTTTGGAGATCCGGCAACTAATAAAAAGTGTTGACCCTCGGCGGTTACCGCGCCTTGGTGTATACGATGCGTTGGAAACGATGATCTGCAAAAGAGAGCAAATAATCTTGTTAAATGCGTTATAATACTTATACCGACTGAAAAGAAAAGATTATAAAAGCATGTAGCATTTTTTAAACCTACACCTTGCAGATTCTGCTTATTTCTACTTTTTTTTGCTTGATTCAATTATTTCAATAATAACGATAAAACTTAATCGATTCAATCTGTTTAAAATTTACTTGTCAAGAAATATAGTTTTCACGTACTTCACTGTACACATGTATTGCAATCGACGAAGAGTTACAAGCGATAAGTGCATTACTTCGCCGGGGGGATTGGTCACGCTTCGTTTCACCGCGAAGACAGCTGCCCGAGCTTGATGGTTATTGTTTAAGCAAACGGACAGTTGGAAATAACCACAGGGCAATTCGTATTATGTGTGCGCGCGAAAGTCTAAAAGTACTTGGATTAAAGTCTAGTAACCAGTTGATATGACACGCGACATCATCGCGGGCGCTAGTATATGATTGCTTTTGTTACAAGAAATTCTTTGATTTTTAATTCATTAATGTAATCTATATGTTTGTTTGGGATACTGAAATGATTCGCAGGATTCCACTTTTAGAAAATTGCTAAGAACCATGCCACTCGCGTGTTGCTTTATTGCCGCCATATACAATACTATACTTATTAGTTATTACATTCTTCTTCTTCGAGAGCGCGCTAGCGCCGGTCTTCTTCCTTGCGAACGCTCATGCATCAAAAACAAAAGCGAATTATTGCTCGCTCGCAAGCACATCCATTATTTCCGCACGCGCGCAAACGCACTTAAAAACTCTAAAGTGAGCTTTACGAACAATAATGTTATATAAAATTAATCATTAATGATATCATTTCATACATTTATTTGTACCAATTATATTATATTTAATTTTATGAAATTATTTAATTTTTTGAAAGATACATGTATTTCATTTGAAGTTGTTAATAATTTGGCCTATTCAAAACAGCGGATTGATCGGCTTTGATCTAAGCATTTGTATATGTAAATCGAGGACCCCGTAAATACGATTAAGAAAATTCTTAGAAAGAACATCGCATATCGAGATGAGTATCGGTTACTCACGAGGTTACGGCCGATTTCCACGAGAAACGCGGGCTTCGGCTAATTATCTTAAACACTTAATTTGTACCCCGTGGAATTCGAGGCCCTTCTCGCCGCTGCAGCTTCAAAGGCGGATCTCGGCGAATGGAAATCGGAGGTGGTATGGAAATCGCGTAGCGAAGAGATGGCCGCGGAGATTGGGTTGTATAATGCTTAACTGGGAGTTTAGTTACACGTGCGGGTGATTATTCGAGATGTCGGATCACGCTTTCAGTGACCTCTTTAATCATACCGGTAGCCCTTGAACTAGGAATTATAATTATTGCAAGAAGTGCAATGCGATTTTCTCTCGCAATGTGCAAAAATATGCGCACATTTTAGGAAAAGAAAATAAAATAGGCAGAATGAAAAGAAATGTCATAATCATAATCCACAATTATAACGATTATTATTCTGAAATTAGTTACAGTCTGAAATTAAAACGATTATTATTCTGAAATTAGTTATAGTCTGAAATTAAAACGATTATTATTCTGAAATTAGTTATAGTCTGAAATTAAAAATATCAAACTTTATACGTGAAAAGAGATCAGTTGATTTTCAATATTTAAAACATGTGAAACATATTTGCGAAGCTTCCGTATGAAATAACGCGCTTGACCTGAGATTCTGCCGCCTACTTCCTGCAGCATCACTTTGAAATCATGGTCCCGCTATGAGCCGAGAGATGCTTATCGATGTCATAAAGTAACCTGCCGCGTGATTTTAAATCGGATTATACCGTCATTCCCACGCAACCAATGCAAATCAATGCACAACATCCGGCACGAGGTTGCTGGTATTGAACAACCATTTCCCTCCATTCGATCCACCCTCCAGTCAATCGCAAGGCGGAATACGGCGATTCTCTGCTATACATTTATTCGAGAATATTGTGGGACTGCATTGCATTTAAGAAAGACCATTGAACACTAACCAGTTGCACAACACTATCGTATTATTTCACATTTTAAAAAACAAAAATTAACTTTTTTATTTGCTAATTTTTAAAGGAACTTATTATTATAATAAAAAGAACTCTGACAATTAATCGATAATAAAATAAGTTTTGACAAATTTTTCAGTCAGAAATTTTCTAAAGTCTTTTGAATTGGAATTTATTTTCGGAAATCTTATAAGAATCTAAAATCTTATAAGAATCTACAATGTTTCAAAAATTTTAATGAATTTTATTGAATATCACCGCTTAAATCAATTTTGATTGAAAAAAATTGTTTCTTATATAATTTTCGTATAATAAAAGCGTGTATAGTTGATACTAGATTTTCAGACTTCTATTTTTCACATTTAATCGTCAAAATTCTTTTCAAAATAAATCAAAAACTTTAGAATTCTTTAAGGAAGAACCGGTAAACTTCATCAGTTGTATCAAAATTCTGAAAATGGAGTGTTAACTGCGCGGAGGTTGTAGATATCCATTTTCCAATCCGCAAGCCCCGTAATTCGTTCACCCTGCGGCCTCCTGCTCGTCTCAACCGGCTATTCGCATGAAAGGCCTCATAATACCTGGAGGTGGTACAAAAAGGGAGGTGCGAACATCAAGCGGTCTCATTTACTTTTATTTTAACGACACTCGATTGGGTTAAGTGTATCTCGTTGCAAGACGTTGCGACACGAGCAATATCATTTTAATTTTTATAAGAAATTTATGGCATATTATACATAAATTATTATTTGATAATTTATAGGGAATATTGTTTCTACGCAAGAGTGTTCACTTTATTTATTTTTGATATTAAAAGATCAAAAATAAGAATTCAAAAAATATAAAAATAACGTTCTAGACGTCTTACGCTTAATTTGTTCGCCCAGTCCGAACGGGCTTTCTGCTAACGGAAATTCCGTGAAAGTATTACTTTAGTACCGATTTTCAGTGTCGTAATGATTTCCACGATTGATTCGACGTTTTCTCGACGCTGCTCGTCAATTCGTCCCTATCCTTTCGATCTCGCGAAGTGTGAGAAACTCCACCTCGAAGTGGCGAAGAAAATGGCAGAGTTACGAGCGTAACGAGGCGAGCCGGTCGCCCACGCAATCGATAAGTAGAGCTGCCGTAGGGTATCCCTTGATGAGACGCGATTCCGTACCAACCTTTACCCATCTTGCGATAGATAGAAAGACGTATATAAATTAACACGCGGCCGAGGCGAGAGCCGAGCACGGGAAATAAGCGGGAGCGGTTATGGCGGCTCGGTGAATATCCAGAGAGAGAGAGAGAGAGAGAGCAACTCAAGTCCTCTTTCTTCCCGCGATCGGACCGGGGATCGGACGACTCACGATTCAATAAAACTGAACGAGCCGAATAAATAGCGATAAAGCTCGCTGAAGGTTTTGTTCTCGCCTGTTCTGAATTTTATTGTTAGTGTCCGATTGGCGTTTACTCCTCTTTCCTGCGCGACGCGTAACGCACGTAAAACTGAAAGTCTGAAGATAAGTGTCGATAAAGTAATATTTATTATATGTACTTTGTTAGGTTGAAGGCAAATGTGTCACGTTTACTAAAATACAATGTCTATATAAAAATCCATCTTTTATTTTTTTTTATATAGATATACCCTTTATATAGATATACCCTTTTGCGAAATTTATTTCACGCGTCTTCTTCAATTTACTTGTTGCTTCCGCGAGAAATAAAAGAAGATACGAAATGACGTGAGCTAAATGTAGAGTATTTGCGGAAATATCTTCAGACTACTATTTCCGAAGTCGTAACTATTGGACTCGATATACGAGACAACGGCATATAACTCTTTGCCGGTCGAGTTATTTTCGCTCTTTAGCATAGTATGCGCTGTTTGTTTGAATTAAGATGGAACTCCGTTCTGCTTAGTTTGGGATAAAGTGGAATAAGCCATTGCTAAGGCGATAAGAAAATATAAAGTGTCGGCCAATAATAGCGTGAATCTACGAAAAATACACGGAGAGAATTTTTTTTTAATTTACCCTGCAAATCATGTTAATTATGAGACAATATAGTATTTAGGCAAATTTTACTGTGCACTACAATAAGATTTCGAAGTAAAATTTATTGTAGTGCACAGTAAAATTTACCTAAATACTATATTGTCTCACAATTAATATGATTTTCAGGGTAAATTTTAAAAGAAAATTCTCTCCGTGTAGAGTTCGAAATCGATAAGCAGCTTCAATTTCTCCTTTCGGTTTAATATTTCTCATATTTTATTACAATGAAACCGTTCGATTTTATATTATAAGTATTTTCATGTTAAATTCGTTTCTTTCCCGAAATAAAAAATATGATTGGTACTCAATGATTTTTGTAAAGAAATCCGAACAAAAGAATTAAATTTTATATAAACTTATAATGTTTTCAGTAATATTTAAAATCCGCTTTTGAAATTTTATCAAGCGTGAGAATTTAAAGACAAGGTTTCTTAGATAGTTCTGTTCTGGATTCTTTGTATGATAATTACGTAATAAAAGTTTTAAGACGATCGCATTCATATATAGTCAATAGTGTCACGCGCGCAGTCTGGAATCTCGCGTTGGTCATCGAAAACGATTCACGGATCTTGTTCTCAGACGTGGAGCAACGTCAAACAACAGCAGGGGGGGTGTTTCTTGTAGCTCGGCCGGCTTTCAAGTTTAATTAGCTGCCGGCCTTATCGAGAAACAGGGTGTCGCACATAAATACAGTCCGGGCGACTCTCCGGACTCCGTTGATCCCGGGGTGAGTCGATTCTCGGGTTTTCCTCTCGCCGCGAAGCAAGCGCCTCTTCTATTTTTTTTTTTTAACGATTTCGGCGCGCACATGTGCTTCTTTCACATGACGATCGGTCGATGGAAAACTGATGTTTCTCGCTCTCTGTCAGTCAGTCGTGTCATCGGTAGACACGTAAATTCTAGAGATATCCCAAAGGGTCTCATTAACATGTGCTCCGTTACATAGAGATGTTTTCACACTGCCTTCGTGTAATTTACGACTTACAAAATGTCTGAGAAAGAACCGCTTTCCGTTTTATAGAAATTTGTCATTCTATTTGAAACTTGCAGGAAATATTAATTTTTGAAAATATTTGTGTAGGTTTCCACTTAACAACGAAAATATAATAATTATATCAAAAAATAAAAGTTGGATAAAAATTTTCGAAATATTTATAAACATACAAACGGATAATTATTCTTTTAAAGCGAAAAAGAATAATGTAATAACCACTTAAGAATAAAACTTAGAAATTTATTACCGTTCTTATTAATTGATACGAATGTCTGCTGGTAATTTGAACAAATTTTATCAGTGGAAACGCCAGTAGAATTTACCGGCGAGTTAATACCTCATCTGAGTAGTTATAAAATAGAAATATTTTTAAATGTCAAGTTAAAAACACATAGGTATGAGATAAGAGGTAATAAATAAAAGTATCTTGTATCTTCGTAGCCATATCTCCGGCAGCAGGTTTTAGTCGAATGTATCTATCTTCAGCTATGTTTTTACGCACATAAAACACGCATGTAACATGCTTGTAATCGAGATGCATCTGGATCCATAAATTATATCCCGAATCAGGTACTTTCTTTCTTCAAAAAAATATTCTCTCGAATAACGCGGATATGCATGTTAAATACATATCAACAGGTGATAATCTCAAAATTCATTTCGTATCAGTATTCAGATCAAAGCTCATTCCATTAAAATCTGTTTCAACAAGATGTTGAATACACATTTCCATATTTCTACATAATACTGAAATAAACGTAACAGGATGATGATGATGATGACGCGACCCAGGCAGCATTCACAGACTTGTCGAAGTCTCCGCGTTCGATTCATCGGGATGAAAGATTAATCCGTGAGAGCCGTTTTTTTCCCCGCCCATCGCGGGTCCAGTTCGGGATGAAGTTCGATATTTTATCAGCATCCAATCTGGGTGTATTCTCGTTAAAATCGGACACGGCGCTCGTCCTCGTCTGGCCTCGTCGTACATCAGGCCCATGCGCGCACCCACAAGCTTTCCCCCTCCCCTTCGCTTCCCCTTGCCCACCGTTCACACACGAACACACGTAACTTCTTTCTTTCGGATCGTCTTCTTCTCGTGACTGGTCGTTACAACATAATTCA